CAGTAACAAAAATATGGAAAAAGCGAAGCGTTGGGAATCCCCGCCCCGATGGACTATGAGTGTGCAGAGGGAGGCTTTTTCACACCACCTGAAATCACCAAGTTTTTTTTTTTCCCCCAAAGACATTTCCCAAATTCTCAACAACAAAAACGTACGGTGTTGCATGAAAAATTTAACAAATCCACATTGGAACATGTCTGTACAGTAACAAAAATATGGAAAAAGCGAAGCGTTGGGAATCCCCGCCCCGATGGACTATGAGTGTGCAGAGGGAGGCTTTTTCACACCACCTGAAATCACCAAGTATTTTTTCTCCCATTGTAGACAAAAAGTCAAAAAGACTTGTGTTCATGCCAATCTAGGTCTAGGATCATAAGATTACAACCGTATAGTGCTCCATGTGCTAGTACTGTAGTTTGGACATAGTATGTTCAAATTCAAAACCTGTGACAAGCAAGATCACTTCATGAGCACCGCGCCAGGTCGACAACTTCATCTCTCCAGGGAGGAGTTTCGCACTCGACGTGACTGTGATTAGCCACAATGAATCCTTAACTGACACACAAGAACACAAACACACGCGCACACGCTGGAGTTCCATGAAAGCAGTGAAATCTGAGAGTCATGAATTATCAACGCAACAAACAACACGGACCTGTTTGATGCAAGCGCCTTGACGCTTGTGTGTCTTCGTGCCAGCCTGTGACATGACATACTGCCAATAATTCACGGTGCAAAGAAAGAAAGTAGTGAGTATACTCAGTTCAAGGTGGGGGGGGAAAAAGAAAATCTTTAAAACTCTAAAAAAATATATATATATTCAAAATACAAAAATGTAAGCTAGGAATGGGGCACAGTTGGGTGATGGTTCACTCTTCTATCATGTTACTGACTACTATTTTAGAAAAATACTCATATTTGTGACAAAATCCCTCCTTTCGACCGCTTCCGTGTCAAAAACACACCTTTGCTTTCTATGCACAAAGCTCATTACTAGGCATGGTTGGTTTAATTTTTTACATTTCACATTTTTGCTTTCATGGAGTCGCAATTCAAACATTATGAATAAATAAAGCCGCCTTTTCGTAACATCTTATTCATATGCAGGACGTGCATGTCGTAAGTGCAGGGTTGATTATGATCTTGGGCTTTTTTGCTTTCTGAAAACCTTGACAGCCTTTCTCACTTGTAAACATCAATTGCCCTTGAGGAAAAACGCACCACTCAGAGCAGTTTACCCGCCCCCCCACCCCCCGGGTGGCAACAGTTTATTTTGGAGATGTATGGACGACTACGAACCAGCACGAGAAAGAAGAACGCGCGGACGACATAATCCTCGCGTGCGCCATCGAAGATAAAGACATCGGTGACAGCGTTTGAGCACTGAAATTTAGTGATGTGCAAACACGACGGCGGATGTTCACAGCGGTAGCGAAATAATGCGTGAGGTCATCCAGCTTGTCGCGCCTCGGCCTGGTATATGGAGATCCTAAAAGTGATGAATAGTAACGGGAGGAGCAGTGCGGCGTGGCGAGCAGAGCAGGGAAAAAAAAAAAAACAAAAAACACAGACACACGCACATGCCTTAGTGTGGATGACAGGCCAAACAAGCTAAATATAGCCTCCTGGGTTATCTCCTCTGTGGGCACAGTCAGTCCGTCGTTGCGTCACATTATTTACGTGTCTGTGCGCCACACCTACAAAAAAGAATATATATATATATATATATACACGCACACATTATGCCTGAGTTCGCTATCTTTCTCCCATTCCTTCCCACCACAACATTCTCAACTCTTCTCTTGTCTTCAGTCATTTCCACTTTTCTCTCCCTCCCGTATCAGTCATCCATCTGTGTCGTTCTCCCGCTCTCACTGGTCCCCGCTTTTTCTTCCCACCCGTCCGTCTCTTCATCCACAAGTCACTTTTTTTCCTCCAGTCTGACACAGAGCGATTTTTTTTTTTCCTCTCAAACTATCTTTGCCTTTGAGCCTCAATATCCCTGCGCTGACCGCGCCTCCGCCTCCTCCTCCTCCTCCTCCTCCTCCTCTTCACACTGACTGTCATCTCTGAACCCTGACTGAGAAGCATAGTGTCACGGTAGCCGCCCAGTGCACAACGGTGAGTCGGTGTTAGAACTAAAACAGCCTCCCGAGCTAACCTGTATGGACAGGAATTGCACGCATAGCTGTTGTAGTATCCAGGGAACAGAATGGGCGGAGTGTGGATTATTTCTTGTGGTTCCATCGACTCCGGTGCTTCTGTTCATTTCTATTGTGCAAGGTGATTATCATCCATGACAGGCAAGAGAGAGTGTGCGCGTTTATGATGACGTGTACATTAGTGGCGGAACAGCTTCAGTTTTTTTTCTGTCTTCGACGCAAAGGCGACGATAGTCGAGTCACCGGTGATTAAGCAGCGACATTATTGATATTTTCGTGCCACCACTCGGTTTTCCGTTCGTTCAAGGCGCAACTGCTGGTTTGCGGTGCCAAGCAACCACCTGCTGATTGATGCGAAGCGTCTGTGTTGTGAATGCCACAAAACGCAATTGCCGATTTATCAATTCAACCCCTAAAGTAACATGCATGGCGGAAGTGTAAATTCAAGTTGTACCGCGTATTTATTTGGAGCATATGTGGCAGTTAGCATAAATAAAGGGCAAAGAGCGACAGCATGTTAAGCACACATTTCTGCAAGAAAAACAAAAACAAACTAAAGTTAGCTGGTTCACCCAGACGGATATTGTTAAGTTCATCATCATCATTATTATTATTATTAATTTTGCTCAGAGCCTCACACTAGAGTGGTGGTTAGCATGTCTGCTTTGCGTTTGCATGTTCTTTGCGTGCATCGTGTGGGTTTTCTTCAACGACTCTGGCTTCCTCCCACATTCCAAAAAACATGCAAGTTGATTCGCCGAAGACTCTAAATTGTACATAGGTGTTCATGTCACTGCAACCAGTCCAAGATGTACCCTGCCTGTCGCCCAAAGTCAGCTAGGTTAGGCTGCAATTCAACCAGGACCCGAATGAGGATAAGCACGAGCAAAAATGGATGGAGTTCGCTGCCATTTCTTTTTTTATGTCTGCATTATTTGTTTCTCAACCTTGTGTGTATTTGAAAATGCATCACACCATCTTTCACTCTCCATCCTTCTATTTTTAAATTCCTGCCTTCCCATCTGTGCGTCTATCCAGCTTAAAGTCCTGATCCGGCCAGCCCTCCCAGGTTTATGAAAGGCGAGCAGCTTTGCAGACGGTGCATATCAAATTCTGCTCAGCTCTGCGTGGATTTTGTACCACAGACAAAGGCTTACAATACATGTGAGCCTTTAGTCGCACATAGACACCGACAAAGAGGAGCTCAGGCTGCAAAAGGGGGGGGCGGAAATGGAACAGAACGGGGAAAAATGACTGTGGGACGGGAATGGAGAAATCTACTTTTGAAAAATACATTTTGAGAAGTATGCAAGCGATAACGCAAGATCTGATCCTTTCACCACCGCCATGACCACGACAATCATTGCTCACCTTATAAGTGGTTTAGAATGACCAGCGATGTCTGCCATCAAGTGATGAATGAGGGAAATAGGGACTGGGCAAGCCCATGAATGGCGATAATCCAACTGTGATGAACCCCCAACAAAACCCCCCAAAAAAGCCCAAAAAATAAATAAAAAAATAATATTGAGAAAGAAATACTGAAAAAAAAAATTCTGCAAATAGGTGGTCCCAAACCGCAAGTATGCAGGGGTCCATTATTGGGAGGAAACACCCTTCTAATGCATTATTTGTTTCTCAACCTTGTGTGTATTTGAAAATGCATCACACCATCTTTCACTCTCCATCCTTCTATTTTTAAATTCCTGCCTTCCCATCTGTGCGTCTATCCAGCTTAAAGTCCTGATCCGGCCAGCCCTCCCAGGTTTATGAAAGGCGAGCAGCTTTGCAGACGGTGCATATCAAATTCTGCTCAGCTCTGCGTGGATTTTGTACCACAGACAAAGGCTTACAATACATGTGAGCCTTTAGTCGCACATAGACACCGACAAAGAGGAGCTCAGGCTGCAAAAGGGGGGGGCGGAAATGGAACAGAACGGGGAAAAATGACTGTGGGACGGGAATGGAGAAATCTACTTTTGAAAAATACATTTTGAGAAGTATGCAAGCGATAACGCAAGATCTGATCCTTTCACCACCGCCATGACCACGACAATCATTGCTCACCTTATAAGTGGTTTAGAATGACCAGCGATGTCTGCCATCAAGTGATGAATGAGGGAAATAGGGACTGGGCAAGCCCATGAATGGCGATAATCCAACTGTGATGAACCCCCAACAAAACCCCCCAAAAAAGCCCAAAAAATAAATAAAAAAATAATATTGAGAAAGAAATACTGGAAAAAAAAAATTCTGCAAATAGGTGGTCCCAAACCGCAAGTATGCAGGGGTCCATTATTGGGAGGAAACACCCTTCTAATCCCCCCAACTGCTTCCCCACCCATTTTTTAAAAATTTAATTGAACATTTTTAATTAATCAAGAGCCCACTCAGTGTGCGGGCCGCCAGTTACCCATTCCTGCCGTAGACAAATGAACGTTGGCAGGTTTCAGATCAATGCAGTGTAACTGGATCATTTTCCATGGCACACGTGTCAATCTCTGCAAACTAACCTAGCTGCGGCACACCGGTTGAGAATCACTGCATGAAGCACGAACATCAATGCTTCATTTTCAATCGCTCGAGTAGTGCTTTACAAACTCCTTAAAACTTCACCACACGTTGACTTCTGACAATGACTTCCTCAACGAACAAATCCATTGACTACTGTTGATTTCGATTCACTACAGTGGTCTAAAACTAAATTCCCCTAACATACAAACTGCACCGGAAGGTACGGATACTTCTTCACAGGGTAAACAAAGAGGAGACTGATCGGAAAAAAGTGGGAAACCCAGTCAAACTAACAACGTTGCTAAAAGCTGTGAGTCGACTCACCATGATGTAGTGACGCTGCATCTCAGTCTTCTCGCTGGCCAGTTTCTCACACTCCAGTTTGAGGCTGCACAAGGACACACAAGGATATGCAAATGAGATGGTTAACAGTAATCCGCCGCCGGAGATAGGGACCGTGCCCTGTCACGGATAGAAAATAATTGTGAATAACTGCTGCCAACCCGATATATTTTAAGTTTATGATTGCCTATGTTCATGGTTTAGACCACAAATATACCACAAACTATTAACCTAACACAGTATTATAATTTCAAACAATTTTTTAAATATTATCCTTTCAAAATAACGATGATTTGATTTCGAAAAAAAATGCACCCCGAGTGTGCGTATGATTGGAAAGAAAGTGTGTGCTGTGTGTGTACAACTGGTTGAGATGTGTCACGTCAACATCGTTCCTTCACACGACGACGATGCAAGATTTTTTTTTTTAGACGCATGCCGATTCCAGGAGTTGGCAGAATACATTTCTGCTGACCAATTAATGGGGTGAGTAATTAAAAAAAAAATTCGGGCTGCCTTAACGCTCACAACAATAAATACATGAATAAATAAATAAAGTCATCAAAAATCACTTGAATGTCATTATCTTTGTCTTATGTTGTAATATGTTTAAAAAAAAACTGACAAAAATCAGGAAAAAAATTATCATGGTAATAATCGTGTGGGACAAATAAAGGATATCTAATCTAATCTAATCTAATCTAATCATTCTTTCTCCGATTTTTTGAAATCTAATATCGGTCAATTCAATGAACTCATTCACTCCCAAAGACGTTTTTAAACGTCTTTTCAGACCTGGTCTAGACTTGGCTGGTACTGAATGAGTTAATTGGCCAGCCAACTCAGCGGCCCGGCACAAGATTCTTTTCAAATATCTCAACTGTACTAAAGCTACTTCCGAAGCTATTAACATTCCCCTTAAACGGCCAGTGGCGGAAACACAGCGGACCGCTTGGTAGAAAATTGCCGTCAAGTATTGTCAAATTCTGCCACAGCAATATTTTTTTTTCTCCTCGTCTTGCTTTTGAAAACAATGTTTCCTGACAAATATGTCTATGGGCAGCCGTTACATTTCCTGAGAATATCAAAAGCAAGTGAGAACGAGGACATCAGGCAGCGATTCATTTTTTACACCAGCAAATGCAACCCTTTTCTGTAATACACGTGAACATGCTGCCGCCGTACCTGTGATACTGGGCCTGGAGGAACTGGAATTCCTCCTTGATGCGGTCCAGAGTTTCCAGGACGGTAAACTTGAAAGACTGGCCAGGTTGCAAGGGGACCTTGACGGGAGAGAAAGGACAGACGTGAAGACAGGATGAAAGACAGACATTCAGCTGTGTGTGCGCACCAGTGCGTGTGTGTGTGCGCGCGAGAGAGCGCCAAGATGAAAGTGAAGAAAGGTCACTTCCTCTTCCCACACATCATAAAGCGGTGTGCTCCGCTAATGACTCTTGCTCCTTTTCCCTCTTCTTTCTCCTCCCTCCCGCTCTTCCACATTAGCATCCTCGCCGCTCTCTTGGCGGCACGCTAATGTATTCGAGCCTACAAAGAGCGGCGGCGGGAGGAAAACGTCATTGGAATCACTTCCAGCAAAATCAAGGCACCTGCTAAGAGCTAAACAAGGAACAACAGAACAAAACGCCTCTCGGGGGACCAGCCGCCATCCTCCACATTTGTCATGAGCTTGGAGAAACAACAGGGGATGTCTTAGATGCTCTTTCCCCGAGTAAGGAAATTACCATTCATATTCGATGCATTCATGGGGTGGGGAAGGAGCGAGGGGGGTCACACTGCCCATCAAAGATGGCTTTTTCAGTTTTTCCCGGACTCACTGTCCTGTGTGGAAGGTCCGCGACAAATTAGGGAGAAGAAGTAGACCCGCAAATTATGCCGGGTTGAGAGGTGAAGGAGTCTCTCCATTTTAAGACAAAGTGGAAAGCCGTGACTACCAATGGAAGGTTCTTTATCAACTCAGAATGGCCCAACAATAGAGAGAGCATCATCCTACAAAATACTTTGGTATTTCGTTAGACCAGGGGTGTCAAACTCATTTTTGTCGCAGGCCACATTTTAGTTCACGTTTCCTTTGCAGGGCTGTTATGACTGAAACGATATAAAGAGGTCAAGAATAACGTTTTATTCAATGATTGTTTAAGTAACTCTAATGAGGGGCTTTGGTAACAAGAAAATACGTCGCTGATTTATTACCTATAGAGTACAGATTTTAGCAAGCATCGTGGACGTTGTCATTTTTGTTTTGCTTTCGCAGGCCACTTAAAATGAGGTGGCGGGCCACATCTGGCCCCCGGGCTTTGAGTTTGACACCTGTGGGTTAGACAATAAACTGTCTTTTGGGCAACATATTGAGAGCCTTTAAAAAAAAAAATCTTTATTTTTCGGGAGGGGGATGAAGAAGTACTTTCCTTTTTCAGCAAGGGAAAGGTTAGTGCGGTGCGCGCACACACACACACACACACACACACACACACACACACACACACACAAAGTAGTATCGTTGTCTGTGTGTGGCGTTTTCTCATGTCTGCAATTTTCTGCCAGGACTCCCTGTGAGGTGAGTTATTATAAATCATGGCGACCTTTCCTGATGAAATAAACAAATAAATAAAGCGACAGTGCGGACTTCAAAACCCATCTGATCATTTAAATAGGTAAATGCACAATGGCTTGTGTGAACGCTTGTGTATGACGGACAGAGGAATGTAATCATTCTTGACAGCAGTCTGAAACGCACTGGAAAGGGCTCTCCTCATACTATTACTCCAAAGACATTTTGGATGCCGTTCTTATACTACTTTGCAATAGATGAGATATTGTAGCTCAGGTGTATTCTGTGACTGTCTAGATCAGTCTCTCCCAAACTTCACTGAAGCAAAGTACATACTTAACATTAGAAAAATGTCAAAGCACCCCAACCAAACAAAAAATGCCACAAGTGTGTATCCTGAAATAATGACATCATCTCAATTTACTGACTCTGTTTGTGCGCGCCATGACTTATTCTGTTGTATGAATGGGAACAGGTGGATACACTGCACAACTTCACACGTTTACAAGTCGATGGTAACGCAACTGACATGAAAAGGCGAATATCATGTTCCCTTCTGAAGCCTTTCAATGAAATGACAGAACACGAGCAAGTTAATCATTCAGCCCGAGTCCTGATGCATCCATTTGAACCCATCGCACAATGCGCAAAGTGGTATTATGCCCTCATGGCGATCTGCCCGCACAGCCAAAGCAAAAAAGATTGGCGGTTTCAGTGGCGAGCTCCATTAGTCTAGACAAGCACAATTCAATTAGATTTCAATTAGTCCAACGGCGGAGGTCAGAGATGTGCGGGCTTCCCCCCCAGTAATTAATCCGCCGAGCCGAGCTGAGCCGAGCTAAAGTGAGCCGAGACCAGGCAGAGAGCGGGGAGCTGGAGATGGGCACAACATATGCTAACTTTGTGTGTGTGTGTGTGTGTGTGTGTGTGTGTGTGTGTGTGTGTGTGTGTGTGTGTGTGTGTGTGTGTGTGTGTGTGTGTGTGACTCTGTGTAAGGGATGAAGGGTTGGAGGAATGGCGGGGAGTCTGCCAAAAGACCCCCACTGACCTTGATTTATACAGTTCTCACATGGGCAATTGGGTGGGGTGGTGCGAGAGTGGGGTCGATACAAATACGGCCATGGACCCGCTGACAACATCAATATGCATGTACAGTAGATTATCCGCGGGAGCGTACACACATACGTCAGAGAGTGAGGGAGAGTGACGATAGCGGGGGGCGACTGACGGACAAAAAAAAAAAAAAAAAGATAGTGACAGGTCTGACAGACAGATGGATTGAACCAGTGATAGGCTCCTCTGACGTTCTTACAGAGGAGCGCCAGAGCCAGATGATGAGAGAGTGACTGACTGTGTGAGATAGAACGCCATTCATCCCCGTGACACCCCCCCGGGATGGGAGGCAGAAGATGAAGGAAATACTTTTCTCCCCCCCCCCCCCCCCCATCCCTCCCACTCTTTCTTTGCTGTAGTCGACATAAGCGTGCCCATCCAGCCTCTGTAATACTCGCACCATCTGCTCGTATGAGCATATGTACACAACACCGTAAGCCAACTCCACAAAGTCTTTAATTTGATTGGAAATGCTTCACGTAGCACATTCGGCGAGACAAAAATGAAAATGAATCGACGGTGCCGATGCCTGGTCATAGGCAGCTACAAGAGATTCCAAAGGATGCGATCAAATTCTGATGTGTGGTCTGAAATGCACACGATGGCCATAGAAGCGAGTTGAACAAAGCGATCGGCTGACGTGAAGAACGACTTTACAGTTGACACCCACACACAGATCACAGACAGTGATCAGAGCATCCTCTGCTTTTTCTCTCAATGTCTGAACTGCATTTAAATGTAAAAAAAAGGAAAGACGAAATCAAGGCCCCGATCGTTCAAAGGGGTTCCATAAAGAAACCAATTGACATCTCCCACAGCTTCTCGACACAAACACGTGAATGGGAATAAACACCGGCGCCTTGACTTACAAGTGGTCCAACTTCTGCAAAGCAATTAAGAAGAAAAGGAAGACCACATCTGAATCGTCACACTTCTTAATCTTAATTATTGTTTTGTTTTGTTTTTTTTGTATCCCTTTCAGTGTCAGCGGTTACGAGAGTAGACAGCTTCAAATGTTGTTTTTCCATATATTATTTTATCTTAATGTCACAGTTGTGCATCAACCACTACAATGGACCCTTACATGTGTTGCCATCCATTATTTTTTTTCATGCCGAAAAACTAATAAAAACACATGAGGAAAAAAAATCCTGATGTAGGTTATCATTAGCATAAAAAGGTGAATATAGGCATCCCAAGATGATACCTTTTCATATGGTTGTAAGTCAGCGGTGGTTCAAATCAAGTAAATAACTACAATATTTTATTCTTCATTTTAGAATGAAGAAATTTTTTTAAATCTAATCTTTTTCAGTCAATGCTGATCAGCTAAATGTCACGTGATCTGCCCCGATTTCCTGGAGGTCCTTTGAAGCAAAGTTAAACTGAGAAAAAAGGCACCCGAGGGGAAGGAAAACATGGACAATATTTACGAAAGATGGAGGCATCCGTTGGCGTATGTCGGCCTCGGCAAACATTTGTTGTTGAAGTTGAGTGTGCGAGTGTGTCGGGTGTCTCCTGCGCCGTGACAGATGGCCACGCAGACTGTTTGGGGGTTCGATAGGCTGTCACCAAAGGCCGAAAAAACAGCCTCTCGCCTCCTGTATTTTTGAGTAGACTGTGTGTGTGCGCGTGTGTGTGTGTGTGTGTGTGTGTGTGTGTGTGTGTGTGTGTGTGTGTGTGTGCGCGCGAGCCAGAGATGCAGCCGTCATAGGGAATCAGATATCAAAAACTGATCCTGTTAATCTCAGAGGTAGATGTGAAAGAGGGGAGGGGTGACGGGAAGGTTTAACACCCGCCCATCCACACACAGACAGACATGCCTGTGCGCACGCGCTCACACAGAAACACACACACACCATGTGGGACAGCAGTCGATCACAATTTGGACGAGCTGGCACAGGCCGAACGGAGAATTAGGGAGGATTATCTATGGCCAGCGGAGAAGGGGGGGAAGAGGTAAACAAGGGGAGGGTGGGGGAGGCGGCTGAGGTCTGTTTTGACTCGCTCACATAACAGGATTGATCTTATTTTTTACGAGGTTGTATCTTGTGGCACGAGTTGTACATGAATAGTGCCATGCAATGTATAGTGTTGTATATTATAATATAGAGGGATCGATTTTTGTGCCAAGTGCTAGTCTGGTGCAAAGTGTGTTGCAAATCTGCGCAGGGGCAGGTTTGACTAAGTTTTGGTATTTCTACATACCAATGCAAGCTGGTGCAGCGTCGCACATTGAAAAAAAAAAATTGTGGCCGTGAACACAGTCAACTTGTTTCAGCGCCAATTGGAGCGGTTTCTCGCGTTCGGTGCAGGGGCATTCAATGGGATGGGGGGGGCCAATCCAAAGACTCCGTCACATTGTCGAATTATTTTCCAAACATCAGACGGCCTTGTATCCATCCATCCATTTTCCGATCTGCTTTATCCTCACAAGGGTCGAGTGGGGTGCTGCAGCCTATCCCAGCTGACTCCGGGTAGTAGGCGGGGGGCACCCTGAACCGGTTGCCAGCCAACCTCAGGGCACAGAAAGATGAACAACCATTCACGCTCACACTCACACTCAGGGACAATTAAGAGCGTTCAATCAGCCTGCCGTGC